GAGCTGTAATACTGTCTGATCTAAAGTGTGTGTACAATAGAGGGGACAATGCCTTATTAATGTCCTACCCCAAATAGGGAAAATCCACAGGTCATGGGACAGTCTAATATTTCAGGGGGGTGGTAGGTAGGCTACATTCAGTCGTGGGACGTAGGTGGGTTGGGGTTAGGATCATTCATAGATGTTTTGGGGTCGTTGAAAGCATCAGAAAGCCAGAAAACCCAGTCTTATCCCCCTCTTAAATGTTGGACTGTCCTGTGACGTCATCTGGGGGTAAGATATTAATAAAGAACCGAGGGGACAGTTATGGCGCCCTAATGAGATTAGCTTTCTGAACTACTGTATAAGATAGAAGAGTTATATTAAAAGAGACGCACCAGTCTCCTATCAACAGAAAAGAAGAATAATCAGATGGATAAGAAAGTCATCACAACTGACAAAAGACGACTACCATATAATGGACAGAAGAAAGCAAGTTTTTATTATTCTACGCCTTAGAATAGGACGCAATCGACTTCGCAGCCATATGTACACACAATTTAAGATTGGCGAATCAGCCATGTGTACATGTGGATTCGCATATGAGACAACAGATCACGTCCTCCAAAACTGTCCTAAATACAACATATCAAGGCAAAACTTTTGGCCAAGGGAAACACCGGTGCAAGCTAAACGTTACTGGTCGATGTTTGAATTACAAAAGACAGTGAAGCTCATACTAAAGACAACACTGTAGATATAACTAATCTATTTCAAGCTAATGAAAGAAGAAGACAAATTTGTTAAATTAACATCTAGAATAGAATGAAAGCGTTACAGAGGACCCAAAGAGAAGGGTTAAGAAATGTATAACGCCTATTGCTGGGCTTTCAAATCCAGCTGCGACTCGCTGCAGCCCACGGTCGGTGTTCGAAACCGGGCGGGGACCAGGGTTCACCCAGCCTATAGGAAATGGGTACCAGAGTTAACACTCTGGGGTAAAGGGAGGAACGTCGCTGTAGCTACAGAGTTGCGTGCGAACGGCGACACAGGCTGACAGTTTCTTAGCAGCTGTCCGTACTGGTGGCAGAGCACTTATGGTTTATAACTAAGTGTAATGACGCTGGTTCACATCTCCCGACTTTACCTTTATGAAAACCAAGCGTCTGGAAAGAAACAGACTAAACACAAATGTTGATAACAACGGTCCTGAAATCCTATGCCCTATTTTTGGAAGACTTTTCTTAAAACCTCCTCGCAGCTCAGTATAACACTATCGTCTGGAAAGACGGAAAGGTGCTAATCAAACTGTAGCTTGTTTAGTTAGACCTAACTCCTGCACTGACTGGGGCACTTTCATGGATACTTATGTGCACTGAGTCATCGATCCATGACGGCATGCAAAAACCAGCTATTTTTCCAAAGCATCAATTTGACCCTCACATGGTCTCCTTACTGAAATATTGTGTACATCGTCATCAAATCATGCTGCGCACAGAGTAAAGTGAAATAATGCTTAGAAATTTCCGAGTTAAACAGCAGAGTTGGCTGAGAATCAATAAACGTCTAGTTATTTCTTAATGTGGTGTGCGCATATCAGGGATTTGGGTCACTCCGCTTTCATTCGCTGAGCACTTACCCCTCTCTCGTGTCGAAAGGAAACGTCGCAGATGTCGTCGTTTTGCGGATGTGTAAATCAGATTGCTAGAAATAGGTCATTGTGATCTAAAATGGTGAACAACTGTACTATACATTTAATAGCTTCTTTGTCTAATTTCAGTGTGTTTAAATAACGATTTATCTGTCTGTCTGTTTGTTTATCTGTCTGTCGATGTATCAAATCAATCTATATATCTATCTACCTATCTATCTATCTATCTATCTATCTATCTATCTATCTATCTATCTATCTATCTATCTATCTATCTATCTATCTATCTATCTATCTATCTATCTATCTATCTATCTATCTATCTATCTAATCTATCTATCTATCTATCTATCTATCTATCTATCTATCTATCTATCTATCTATCTATCTATCTATCTATCTATCTATCTATCTATCTATCTATCTATCTATCTATCTATCTATCTATCTATCTATCTATCTATCTATCTATCTATCTATCTATCTATCTATCTATCTATCTATCTATCTATCTATCTATCTATCTATCTATCTATCTATCTATCTATCTATCTCTCTATCTATCTCTCTATCTATCTCTCTGTCTATCTCTCTGTCTATCTCTCTGTCTATCTCTCTGTCTAACTCTCTATCTATCTCTCTATCTATCTCTCTATCTATCTCTCTATCTATCTCTCTATCTATCTCTCTATCTATCTCTCTATCTATCTATCTATCTATCTATCATCTATCTATCTATCTATCTAATCTATCTATCTATCTATCTATCTATCTATCTATCTATCTATCTATCTATCTATCTATCTATCTATCTATCTATCTATCTATCTATCTATCTATCTATCTATCTATCTATCTATCTATCTATCTATCTATCTATCTATCTATCTATCTATCTATCTATCTATCTATCTATCTATCTATCTATCTGTCTATCTATCTGTCTGTCTGTCTGTCTGTCTGTCTGTCTGTCTGTCTGTCTGTCTGTCTGTCTGTCTGTCTGTCTGTCTGTCTGTCTGTCTGTCTGTCTGTCTGTCTGTCTGTCTGTCTATCGGTCGGTCGGTCGGTCGGTCGGTCGGTCGGTCGGTCTGTCTGTCTGTCCGTCCGTCTGTCTGCGTCTCTGTCTATTTTCCCGGCTACCTATATGCCCCCCCCCACCCACTTTTCTTTGTGTCATTTTGTTTATCCATTTATCAGTCAATACACTGGACCGCTCTTCTGTCTATTCTTTTATTCGTCTGTCTGTATAAAGGGCAGAATGATAGCAAGCGAAATAATTTACACGTTAAAAATAAAGTTCGTTTGAATATCCACAACGGAATACCAGGGGAAATAACCTAGACAGTCAGTTCACACATTGAAACAACAAACTGACTGTCACACTCAGCGAGTACTACTTTCAACATCTGGCCCAGTTGATTGCGCCTGCCAATCTCATACCGTCACAAATCGATGTCGCCGCCGCCACCAGAAAATTGTTCCGCTGTTAACACAACACAAGAACACAAGAACACGAAACCTGATCGTCGTTACCTGGATGTCTGCTGTCGGAAATTATGCCAAAGGGTGTGTGGTGTGTCTGTGTGTGTGTGTTGTGTGTGTGTGTTTCTGTGTGTGAGAGAGAGAGAGAGAAAGAGAGAAAGAGGGAGAGAGACAGAGAGAAAGTATAGTTGTGTTGGCCCTGAGAAAATCCATCATCTGGCAGCTTAAATGTTAAATACTTTATCAGCACACATTAGGTGGTGATCATAGTGGTAGTAGAAGCAGTCTCAGCAGCAGTAGCAGCAGTAGTAGCTACAGCAGCAGTAGTAGTACTAGTAATAGCAGCAACAGCTGTAACAATAGTAGCAGTATCAGAAGCAGCAGGAGCAGCTGTTGTTGATAACGATGTAACAGTAGTGGTAGTAGCAGCTGTTGCTGATGATGATGTAGCAGTAGTGGTTGTAGAGACGTTAACTTTCATCAGTTCACACAACAGCGTGTGCTTATGTGGACGCAGTGGCTGGCAGTCTTACATGCCAGCTTAGTCATCAGGTGTTTGAATCTCTTGTTAGATTTTTTTTAATATAGAGACAGTCTACATTTTTGGTCATGTAATGAGAAAGAGAAAACTGGAATACATAGTGAGGGTGGGAAAGTTTGAGGGGAAAAGAGGCAGATAGAGACTAGGAAAGAAGATGCTGGATAGTCGACATCATGATATGGAAGATTTTCTGTGTTAGAACTGATTAAAAGTACACAAGATAGACAGTTGTGAATATAAATGACTGCCTTATTCACTGTTGTTCAACCGCACAACGAGCAATTAACAAGAAGAAAACAGAAGCGAGCAGTTTGTGGAAAGACTTGACTAGTAGTAGCAGTAAATATTACCCCACCAGGACATAAAACAAGCGATAAACACCCGATAACACAAAGTGCCACCATGTGGATGAGGATCACCCGTGGAGAGGTCCCAGAAACCCCGTTCAGCCATTAGACCATATTTATGGCTGAGCTATATTGCAGCCCCTGGCAAGAGCCAGGGTGGGGCTTCAAAAACGCGCAAAAAATTGCATCCCACAAGGGATGTTCAATGTAGACAAGAATACTTGACTACCGTCATTATTCAGTTATTACAAGAAAAAGACAGAAGGGAGAAGTTTGTGGATAGACATGACTACCAACGGCATGGAACAAAACAAAACAAAATCTTGATGATAACGGCGACAACGAGTAGGAGGATGATGATATGTTAACTTGAATACAGATATGTTTGTTATTTTAATATTTTATTTATATATAATAAATTGTAATGTTTGTTTTGTTTCAGAGCTGCCAGATTATGGATTCGAGATTATACCAAAGAACGATAACTAGAGCAACGTCTGCGAAATAGGAAAGATAACTCAAAAGTTAAAATGTTGGAGTGCCAATAAATGAAACAAAACAAGTCGATATATGACATATCAACTACATAAATAATTATAAATAAGGGGGCAAAAAGAAAAAGAACAAATAAGCCCAAACATATGAGAAAACAAAAGAACAGCGAATGGATAAAAGGTGCATCAACGAACGAGAACGTAAAACAAAAATATATCAAAAGGGAAATTAACACAAACTGTCAAACGTGGAGAGACAGAGGCTAGCACAAATAACTTAATGCAACTGAACAATGAATGAGGTAAAATTACCAATTCAAACAGTGAAATGCAACAGTAAACTAAGTTAAACAACGGTAGTCAACCAGGCAGAACAAGTAATTCATCTGTAACATGACAGTGACCCGACAACTAGCGGGTTGAACTGTTTAGAGTGAAGAGCAATACATTCTGCATTGAGAAGACAACGATTGGGAACAAGTTTGAATTCCCACTGAATAATCAAGATGAAGACTGCGTGTGCGGTTGGTGTGTTGTTGGTGTGCTTTCTGTGGCATATTCACACCATCCAGGTTAGTTATATGTTCGTATAATTGTATATGTTGTTTTATTAACACTATTCTTTTTTCCACGTAGTGAGAAGAGAGACATTGGAGAACATCGTGACAACTGGAAAGATCAGTGGAAAAAGAGGTAGAGGCAGACCAAGAGAGGTGATGCTGGAGGGGCTAAAATGATGGCATGGAGGGATATCATCAAGAGAGTTGTTCCAGTCAACCAGGGATCGTGATTTATGGAGACACATGAGCGCCTACGCCAGTTTGCAGGGCACATGATGATAATGACGTTTTTGTTATTTATTATTGTGTTTTTTTCCCTAGTAGACCGCTCGTATTCATGGTGGTTTGGAGAGAACAGTGATGGCGGTGCAGTTTGTGGAAAACGAGGCAGGGGTAGACCTTAGTGAACGTGGATACAAGACATTGAAGATGCACTCGCTATGAAGGCACATAGGGCTGGAGAGTTGGCTAAATAAAGAAAGACTTCCGTGAAGATGGTGACCTTCTGTCAAGAACTTGCTGATTGAAGGTGATGATGATGACACTATTTGTATAATTACTTACGAGACACAAAAATACAATAGATACATCAAGAGAACTACCAAACAATGAAATGGGAAACAAATGGATCACGAAAAAAGGACGCGCAAGAGACATCTGGAAAGAACGTTGCTCAGAGAGGCCAGTGAGGCTGAGGCCAAAGAGTCTGGACTGGATTCCATCCATGGTATCCAGAGGATTGCACATGAGAGAACGGAATAGGGTTATGATGATGAGGGTGGTGATGATGGTGATGGTGGTCATGGTGATATGGTGTGTGTATAGTGGGTCACAAATAGACTAGCTACATGTAAAGGAAACTCCTGGTGTTCCAGTGTGCACTAGACCCGCCGCCACAAAGAAACATGTGGGCGCAAAAAACTTTGTGTGTGTATGTCGCAGGAAAAAAAATAGGGGGGGGGGGGTTTATCAAGAGTGCCACCCCCTCCCCAGTCACGCTTTCTTGTCCGCCTTATAAATTTTCTAGGCAAATTATTAGGAGTTTGCGCGAAGGGCGGGTGGGGGGGGGGGGGTTTTGAGAGCTTCCGCAATTGTCTAAGTTTCTAATACGTCCACTTTAACCATGTATATAAACTTCTTTTAATTGTGCGACATTCTTTATTGGCTAGCAGTCGCCCTGTGAAGTAAGACCGAACCATGTGGAATACAATTCTATGTAATGACGTGGATCCTTTCTCGTTTTCACAGATGTTATTTGACAGTTGGATTTTTTTTTATTTCACCCGATCTCGGAGCCTCCGAGATTTCGTGGGGGAATTTCCGGAAAAGTCCAATATTATGGGTGGTGGGGGGGGGGGGGTGTTAGGGTTAGTGTTGGACTTTCCCAGGAACTCACCACGAAATCTCAGAGGTCTCGAGAAAAGGAAAAATAAAATAAAAATAACCCACAATTGTGTTAATACTTTTATATCAAATTGCTGTCCATTCTATAAAGAATGAATATCGTTTGTCTCGTCGCCTTCTTTCTTTCACCTTCCCCTCAGTCCCAGACACAAAGTTCAGTGCACACCGCCAGGATACAACCGTGAGCTATATATGGCACAGTTATTTCTCTATGTGTAAAACGAAAAGTCCACTCGAAAAACCTGTAGTGTTCAAACTGACAATACACCGTCTGTAGGATCTCGTCTTCCGCAGTGTTCTTCAACCCGTTAAAAACAATTCTGCTTAAACGTGTAACGAGGTAGTGTATGCGGTTTTTCTTTTCTAGTCTCTGCGATTACCACCCCAAGGACTTCCTATTTGTGTGAAAAGACTGAAACCAAACGGATACATTAAATGGATGTTGTTGTAGCGCTTCGTATATAAGAATCAATGCTCAAGCCACACATGTCAACATTTTAAGCAGCAGAAGAAGTCGAGGTGTAAGTCTAAGTCCAATTCCTTTTAATAAAAAATGAAAAGGTCGACCTCTTTCAGACTGCTGCTGGCTAACCGAAGTTACTAACAGTCTCTGCCTATATTTGCGGTCTAGGTTATTTGTGTCACTTTCGTGACTTAAGTCGAGTATTTGCGCCATTTCTGGGCTTGATGCTTCCATCTGATTCAGGCCGTTCGTCCTCCACCCTATTGTTACTTGTGCATGTCTTTCCTCTTCTTCCTTGATGTTTCTTGTTTGTTTTGTTTCCCTTTGATTTGGCCAGGCAGGCAGGTGTAATTTTGTGACATTCTTTTCAACAAATAACGTACAGGATAGGCATAAAAGAATCTGCTGCCTGTGATTGTGGAGCAGAAAGACAGACCCCTGAGCACATACTGCAGTACTGCCCTTACCTCTCCCAGCAAAGACTGCGGATCTGGCCCAAGGGAGCCTCATTGTGAGAGAAGCTATGGGGGACCGGTGGCGACCTTAAACGCACAATCCTATTTGTGACTCAGACGGGACTCAATGTTTAGCATAACTGATGTCGAACGCAGAAGAAAAAGAAAGAACAAATAAACTGTTATCTGCATTTGTTTTGGTTTTGTGATTGGTTAGCTGTCAGGTGGGCCGTGAAATAATTTTCATTTTTGGTTGGCCGCGGGGAGTCAAATAGTTGAGGAACACTGGTCTACAACATACGGGACACTAGCTCCGGTGTTGCATGAGAGCAGGATACCTGGAAATAGACGTTTATCTCTGGCGTTGTGCCAAAGACGTAACAAGCGCAGTGGCTGAACTGACATGCAACGTTATCATCTGGGAAAGCCATAAAATAAAATAAGCGGTAGATTTGACAAAAAGAGGCAGGAAAAGAAACAAGGAACTATAGATATCAAAAGCAGCAACCACCTGCGTTAAACTGATAGTGATGAAAGAATGTCAATCGTGCAGATAACGATAATAAAGACAGTAAGCCAAGCATTGAAACAATTAGCTTCTTCTTCTTCTTCTTCTTCTTCTTCTTCTTCTTCTTCTTCTTCTTCTTCTTCTTCTTCTTCTTCTTCTTCTTCTTTTTCTTCTTCTTCTTCTTCTTCTTCTTCTTCTTCTTATTATTATTATTATTATTATTATTATTATTATTATTATTATTATTATTATTCTGCCTCCTCCTCCTTCTTCTTCTTCTTCTTCTTCTTCTTCTTCTTCTTTTCCTTCTTCTTCTTCTTCTTCTTCTTCTTCTTCTTCTTCTTCTTCTTCTTCTTCTTCTGCTGCTGCTGCTGCTGTTGCTGCTGTTGCTGCTGTTGCTGCTGTTGCTCACCATTCTCTTCCTCCTCCTCATCATCATCATCAATTTAAATTAGCAAAGTTCAACAGCTATCGAGGGAGCTAACCTTCCCGAGATAACATTAGTTATAATTGTTGCTCATGTTCATGCACGTAATAAAACGTCCTGTCTTGTCCGGTGCACACTTAAAATAACATTCACGTAAATCATACACGTTTGTTTTTTCACCACTTATATAAACTAATAAATAATTTCGATTATTTGTATCTCCAGGGCAAACAACTGAAAGTTACGTCACTTTTGGTAAGAAATTTATTTCGTCATTTTATTTTATCATGATGATCATCATCCATTTCAACTTCTACAGTGAGGCGTTTTAGGGTGGAACATTTTGCGATCCATTTCTTGATGATCACCCATGGCTATTGTTATTCTGTATCGATGTAGAAGCCCTTTAACGCCACCGGGCCATTTTCTTCTAGGGCGGCCTCTTGCTTTCACTTCAGATCTTTTCACATGTATCGCCTGCGTTGATTGTAGCTCTGACTGCATTCTTACTAGACGACCAAACCATTTGATCTTCTGTTTCTCAATGAATGGGCCACGTGGTTTTGTTTCTACATTCTGGTTGATAATATCATTTCTACTTTGTCTCAGATGATTAAATTGGCGGCTTTTCTCAGGCATCACAATTTCACAGGTGTTAATTTGAATTTTATTTTATATGTCTCTCTATGTGGATTTATATCAGGGGTATGGGGGCGTCGCAGGTCGACCCAGCCTGAAATGGGTATTAAGATGGATGTCCTGGGGAAGTAAAGACGGCCGGCGTAATGCTGACCACATTACATACGTAGTGCCGATTGGTCTGTAAACACATGGAGTGCTCTTCCCATATGCCCGATGCGCCCACGGCGTGAAAAGTGATCTTTACCCTTTTAAAATATGTCTCTGTACAGTAAAGAGGTCGGCTCTGTGGCTAGGTCGACGCGAACGTTTCGTAATGCAGGGATGCCGGGTTCAATCCCAGCTGCGGACCATGCGCCTTGCGTTGGTTTCGACAATGGTATCAAGAAAACCGACCACCCAGAAAGCAATGGCAAACGACTGGACGTAAATTTGCCTAGAGAAACCACACAACTGCCAGGGGCTGTTGGGGTTGGTTCTGCAACGTCCTGTAAAGAATGCGCAACTAACTAAAAAAAAAAAAAAAACAGTCAAGAGACCGATAGACGCGTACAAAAGTAGAGGACATTCCGTGACGCATGGCATTCATTCTGCTTCATTCACGTTTCGTGAACTGGTAAGATACTTACACCAGCTCCAAGTTTAGGTCCTCGAGTTTAACTTGAGTTGAGTTGCTTCGAGAACTGACATCACGGCACTAGGGAATTCCCCTATGCGTTCCGACCCCATCTTCAGCAGCCAGCAAAGAGTTCCAAAAATATTTGGTGCCATAAGCTGTATGAGTATATATGTCCGTCTTACCTTTCCTCTAAGCGTCGAGTATCGGCCAGATCCCCTCGTCACTCCCCGCTGCATCATTTTCGCCGGACTGGGATGATCAGTTTGTTGTTCCAGATTGTACGCGTGCTGAATAAGGCCTTAATCACAACTGCCTTATCGTGCATCAGTAGTCCACAAAGTTGTACAGAGCCAGCCAGTCTTTCCACCAGTTCATTTCCCAACACACCAGAATAGCCCGGAGAAACGATCCAGACAGTGCTCTTCACCCGTGACCTCCGAAGCCAAGCATGCCTCTCTGCACGAAGCTTACACAAGCGAATTGATCACGTCTTACCCCTGAATAAAGCGGCGAAGTTCTAATCTCTTCCATGGTGCCACTGCCTGAAAGCCATGAGAACGGTCTCTTTTTCAACCGCCTGCCGCGGCAATCGAACCTTGGTACCTCTAGGAATGTAAAAAACGTTAATCAACTTCTACGTCACAAAGCCGCAGAGAATTTAGTTAGAAAACTTACCAACAACAGAACATAAATAATGTATGACTGATCTATAGGACTATAGGTTAAACCTGGCTGGAGGAGCCGTTAAGAGTGTCGTTAGTAACACTTCTGTGGAGGTTATGATAAGATATAAAACCGAACGAAAAGTTTCACGATACAACCAACACAAACGAAACGTCAACGTTGCGGCTATAGAACCTTCATCAGCACTACATAAATCAAACAAAACCACACGAATGCACAAAATCACTTAACTGACATATCCTGAAGCAGCCACGTTGTTGTTTTGCTAGATGATTAAATAAACAAGAGAATATAAAGTTGGGTAAAGTCAAGGGCCTTAACTTCGGAATTTTAGATGAAACTTTGTTGACAGTTCAGTCCCCTGGGTGTTATTGTGCTCAAGGTGAAATTAAAGCGAATCTGTGGAGTTTGAACGGGGTATCTGTGATCTGCTTGGTGTTCTGCCGTCCAGACTGAATTTGTTGTTTCCATCTCGATCCACATACTTTGTTTTCGTCATTATTGCTATGAAGTTCTAGCACTACTTTCTTTCCTTCTTCTCCTTCTTCTCTAGTCCTGTTCTGCCTTTGAGCGTCAGATTAGGTGCGAGCCTTGGTATATACTCCGTAAATGCTGGTATTTAAGGCCTCAGATATACTACTTGTCCATAGCTTGCATGGTCGACCTCTAACTCTGCTTTCATTCCGTCTCAGTGATAAGTTTATCGTTTTCTTTCTGCTGTTTATTAATCATAAGGACCATGCAAACACTGGGCAGAAAGAATAACCGAGTCCCTTGGAACCCCGTTTCCGATGCACTCAAACGGACAATTATACTTCACCTGGACACCGCAAGTTACCAGAGAATCAAAATGAGATAAGGTGAGTCTCCATGTGCTCAGACTGTTTGCTATATACACAGATGGCAGAAGGTTTGTTTCATGGACCGGGTTTATTGCAGAGGTCTTCGTGATAGTTACCGGTGCTTCGGAGTTCGTGCCTAATGTGATATTTTTGGCAGATGACTTGGGGTACTGCTGTGTAAAACTGAGCCATATTGTATAAACCCGATTCAGTGAAGTGATCATCCCGGGTTTAAACTTGTGAAACAGTAGCGTTGACGATTTCTAGGTGCTTCATCGAACAACACGTCCTATACATAACGTCGTACTCGTCAGGACACGCCTGAAAGTTTCTCTTTCTCTTGCAAATTCTCCAACCCTGTGTGCTTTCATAGCTATTACATCTTTAGTGTCTTGTAGCCACCTTCACATAGTTCTGTCTCCGCCTAGTTTTCCGAAACTATACGCTCCAACACCTTCGTCTCGAAGCCCCCATGACGTTTTCCACCATGCTCAAAATACAGCAGCTTTCGGGATAGGATGCTTTTTTATGAGCCAGTTCTCCCCGACTCTCTAATAATGTAGGATGTCGGTGTTTCCCTTCTTCTTCGTGTTCCGTGGAATTCTGAAAATGTTTTTGTATTTCCAGGTGCAGCCTTTTCTTATGTCTAACGCAACAGTCAGGAACGGGAAGACGCAGGTTACCTTTGACGGCTACATCCCGGACCTTCTGGACGAAGTGGCCAAACTGACCGGTCTATCCTTTACCTTCTCTGTCCGTGCAGACGGCAGGTACGGTCACCGGCTGCCCAACGGCTCCTGGGACGGACTTATTGGTGACATTGTGGATGGGGTTAGTGTGGGGAATATTCTTTTTGTTATTATTATCAGTATTATTATTATTATTATTATTATTAATATTATTATTATTAATATTATTATTAATATTATTATTAATATTATTATTATTACTATTGTTATTATTATTTTTATTATTATTATCATTATTCTATCCCTCCTCTTTCTCCTCCTTCTCTTTCTCCTAATGCTTTTCCTTTTCTTCTTCTTCTTCTTCTTCTTCTTCTTCTTCTTCTTCTGTTTCATCTTCTTTTCTTCTTCTTCTTCATCTTCTTCTTCTTCTTCTTCTTCTTCTTCTTCTTCTTCTTCTTCTTCTTCTTCTTCTTCTTCTTCTTCTTCTTCTTCTTCTTCTCCTTCTTCTTCTTCTTCTTCTTCTTCTTCTTCTTCTTCTTCATCTTCTTCGTCATCATCATCATCTTCTGTACATACTTCGTGGTGTAGATTATAGCGAGATCTCAAGTTACAATTATGTTGCAACTGACTAACATTTAAAGACGAGTCAAAGGTAAGATAAAGTTACAGTTGAGTTATTGAGTTACGAATTTTTAATTATGTGTTACAGGTAAATTGGTTTGAGTTATATTTGTGTTGAAGGTAGCCTCAATTTTTCGTCATTTTCTGTTTCTTCTTCATTTCCTTTTTCGCATCTTTCTCCTTACTTCCACAGCTCCTCCCCTTTCTGTCCATCTTCCAATGAAACACACGCCTTCATTTAACTCACTCTAAGCTCTTGTAAACGTTTTTTTTTTTAATTGTTGGGTTTGGAAGCTAACGTTTTCTGCACAATGAAGTAGTCAGTCTAAACCCAAGCCTCCTCGGTAAACTCTTACGACATACATGTCAGATTTCAGTGTTACAATTGACTGCTTCACTGGGGTAACTAATTTACAGCTTAGGACATCACAATCCGCAGGGGCCTCAATAAATTCCTATATTTTGTTTGAAAATTCTTTTAATGGAGCCTTCAAGAGAATTACATAAACAAATTTCATTGATTTAACAGACACATTGTTTTTACTTTTTACTGAAAATTAAACAATAGTTTCATCATTCAATATTCTAAGGCGTATATATTTTAGAATTTTGAGTTTAACTGATATAGTTTTAAACAATAGGGGCCTCAATGATTTATAAATCTTAGGTCCTCATCGAGTCTAAATCCAACCCTAGTGTAGATAATTTACAGTTCATTGATTTAAATTACCCCCTTTTGATATTAATTGATTTCTGCCAATCATTCGCAAATGGCCACATTTCGCTATTTTAAGTGCCCACTATCAATGCGATATTGATCGATGTAATCTTGTTTGTGTGTGTTTTGGCAAGAAATGATTTCAAACCTGGCCTTTCCGGCAATGTCGTTTTGAGAGAATGACGTTACAAACATGGGCGTTTCACTGGTTTTAACAACCATGGGTTACAGTGGGGATGATTTCAGGTTGTATGACACTCAATTTGAAGGGCGACATTTTTTTTTTCTGCTTCTTCTGCCTTCTATCCGCCAATGGAGCACAGGTCTTCAACCAACTTCCGCCAAGTCATTCTATCCTTCGCTATCGCTGCAACTCTCCCCATGTCGTCATCAGATTTTCAACTTTCCTCTCTGGCTCTATTCTCTGTATGTTTCTTGATCAACATTCCATTTGCCAGATGTTGAGACTTTCCCAGACTAAAGGAGGTACGTCGACAATCCGGACTCCTTTAGGCTTTCTCTACGCGGTATCATACTTCTTCTGTTAAAAGAGCTCTCCTTCATCTTGGTTAGCGGGAAGGGGCGGGGGGGGGGGGTGGTGGTGCAGTATATTGTTGTTTTTCCCCTCGTTTCTCTTTTTGATTTGTCCATGTGATTGGTTGGTTTCTGTCTCTATTGTTTTTACAGTATGAAGTAGCCAACCCCAAACTTAACTCTACCCTTAGTCAACTCTTACGACATGGGTGGTAGGGTGCTGTGTTACTGTTCTTTGCTTCCCGTGAGTGCTTTACTCTGGGACCCCCTTATTCTGCTTCCAAATGATTTTTTTTCCCCCAGGAAATTCTTGTAATTGCCTTCTTCTTCTTAGTGTTGTAAACTCCGGCGGAAAGTTCTGGTTGTTCGTCCACTTCAGGTTTGTAGTATTGATCCAAAGCTTGAGTTTTTCGTACATGTCCGTTTTACAGGTCTGGTCTATTTATATGCACATTTTTGGTTCTTTCCATCTCTTTTGCTATAAAGAAAACACCACTAATTCTGTCTGTCTCTGTCCATTTCTCTGTCTGACTGTCTGTCTGTGTCACTCTATCTTTCTGTCTGATTGTCTGCCTGTGGATCTCCATCTCTCTGTCTGCCTGACTGTTTGTGCCTGTCCATATCTCTGTCTGACTGTCTGTCTGTGTCACTCTATCTTTCTGTCTGATTGTCTGCCTGTGGCTCTCCATCTCTCTGTCTGCCTGACTGTTTGTGCCTGTCCATATCTCTGTCTGAAAGTCTGTCTGCCTCTCTGTCTGTTTCTGTCCATCCCTTTGTCTGACTGTCTGTCTGTCTATCTATGTTTTTCTGTCTGTTTGTCCTTCTGCCTGTCGGCTTGTCTGTTTGTCCTCTTGCCATGGAATCATCAAGCTAGGTTTTCTCCAGAGAAAACCAACAAACTAACGCGTGTCTCCTCTCTCCGTGACCCACCAGAGAGCAGACGTGGCCGCTGGCCCGCTGACCGAAACGTCTTCCCGATCCGAGGTGGTCGACTTCTCCACACCCTTCATGAACTTTGGTCCCGTCATCATTCTGAAGAGACCCCAGACCCCAGTCATGACCCTCGTGGAGAGGCTGCAGCGGTTGTTTGCCCCGCTCTCACAGAGGTAATCATCATTAACATCGTAATCTTCGTCATCATCATCGTCGTCATCATCATTATCGTCGTATTAACATCATTATCATCGTATCATCATAGTATCAATATCGTATTACCATCATCATCGTATCATCATATTATCACGTTGTCGTCGCCGCCAACATCTTCATCATCACCATCAACACCTTCGTCATGTCCTTTGCTAGTTGGAACAGTATTCATTCACATTTCCAGAGTCTGTCCTTAGTTTTTTACATTAGTTCTTCCTCCTCTTCTTCTTCTTCTTCTTCTTCTTCTTCTTCTTCTTCTTCTTCTTCTTCTTCTTCTTCTTCTTCTTCTTCTTCTTCTTCTTCTTCTTCTTCTTCTTCTTCTTCTTCTTCCTCTTCTTCTTCTTCTTTTTCTTTTTCTTCTTTTTCTTCTTCTTCTTCTTCTTCTTCTTCTTCTTCTTCTTCTTCTTCTTCTTCTTCTTCTTCTTCTTCTTCTTCTTCTTCTTCTTCTTCTTCTTCTTCTTCTTCTTCTTCTTCTTCTTCTTCTTCTTCTTCTTCTTCTTCTGCTGCTGCTGCTGCTTCTGCTGCTGCTGCTGCTTCCACATCATCATTTTCTTCAGGTTCTTCTAAAGATGGTGATGATTATATTTTGGACCTTGAGTTCAAAATGGTTCATTTTGGTGAGTGAATAGAGGATCTGGGTGGTTTCCAATGCCCAAGAGGAGAAGACAGGCGGATTTTTAATCAGGCTCAAACTGACACCACCAGTATAGGAACTCTTCTTTGGCTCCTGTTGAGGCGGACGGAGCACCTTTATAGTTGCCCTGAGTGCAATAATGACAGTTCTTGATTCATTCACTTGATTCTCTAATTCAGATCTTCCAAACGTTTCTTGTTGATGATAGGAACATTTGAGACGACTATAATTTCACGACACCGTAATTCAATCATACTAGAAAACAAGAATGTTATCCTGCCACCCCTAGAAGCCGCAAAACCGACACTGCCGATGGTAATCGATTATCTGTAAATGCCACTAATTGATTCTCAGCAAATGACACTTTTCCAACTTGTCTATAGTCAACTGTTTACGAGACATATAATTAATGCTATTGGCACGAGGTCAATATGTGAATATAAAAACTATAAATAGCATTTTCTGAATTTTTCTTCAAATCTATTGGTGTTTTCTAGAAGCTAATTTGACGTCAGATTTAGTCATAATCCTTTGTTTTTAACATTGCTGGGGCGAAGGGTTAAACTAATCCCTCATCAAATATACGTGTATATAAATTTATGTTAAACATACTATATTTGTTTAATGCTATATATTCGCACGACAAATCTTCACACTGCAGCGTAACATTATTGTGTCGAAACAAACCGTGGGAAAGCTTTGTTCTAACTAGAGGTGCATGTATATCTCTAGCATCTGGATGATGTCCGGCCTGGCATGGTTGATCACAAGCGCTGTCTTGTACATCATCTGTTACATCGATCCTTACGACTGGCGCAGACTGGCTAGGGACAAGCAAGCCACGGCCAGGGAAGCCGAATCTTTCTCTTGTCTTAACACTTATTGGTTTACGATGAGCAACATTTTGTGGCAAGGTAAGGTTTTTATTTTTATCATTATTAGTTGTATCTTTCTCCTCCTTCTGTGCTAACTCCTCTACCTCTACCTAGTTCTCACCCTCTTCCTCATCCTCCTCCTCTTTCTTTTTCTTTATCTTCTTTATCTTCTTCTTCTTCCTCCTCTTCCTCATTTCCACCCCCTTCTTCTCCTGCTCCTATCATAAATTCACAAATGTCTTTATTTAACGAACAAAACACTGTGGTAAAGAATTATAATAATTCCCCCATAAAAGTAATCGATCCTTCCTTATCGGTTCATTTCGTTCAGCGGAATGCTTGTCTGTGAGATCTTGCTTCCGCGTCCTTAGTCAAAGACTTGTCATGTACAATGTGATAACGCAGCTGGGCTTTCGAGGAAATGAGCGCAAGCTATCACTAAAACTAGGCGAAGCTGCTGAAAGGGCTTCGAGCTGGCTCTGGATACAACGGAACGTCGTGGGGGACGGGCCTCGGTAGGCTGGTCCGGGTGTCTAGTCGAAAAATAAAGTCTTATCCCCTAAGTCCATCGAGTGCGGATTGTCTGCCAGTGTCCTTCTGTCAATTGCCAACAAAGTCCAACATCTGTCCGATGAACCAACCGTAAGCTTGCCACTTGGTCGTTAAGATATGCCGACTGTTTTAATAGGCTACCGCGGTGACTATAAATAACTTTGAATCTCACAGTACCGGTTGCATAGTCACCATTTTGGTCTTGTTTCTGTCCGAGAACATCCGGTAATACGTGCAGCAGGAGCAGATCAAAGCCTGGATTCATGACCCAGGTTGGCCCACCAACTGAAATTGTCTAGGAGATCGTGGGCCGAAACAATTGTTGACGAAGGATCACTTCTACTTATCTTCTTCTTCTTCGCGTTCACCAGCTGTAAACTCTGGCGGAAGGTTCTGGTTGCTCGTCTACTACTGAACTGCAGTCCTGCTCCAGAACCTGAGTGTTGCGTGTGCATCAGTTTTACAGATCTCATTCTCTTGAATACAGACTGTTGGTTCCTTGCCTCTCCGGCAGATGCACTCCGACTTCAAAGGAAGCTTCCCAATTAGTCGACTCTTACGACATGCTTTTGGGGAGGCAGTGGGTCTATTCTTGTTTTCCCCACAATGGGGCCCCGGAACCCACACGGGGGACTTCTACTTATGATTTGCAGACTCCTACCAGTCCTGCTGTACATGCTTCCCCGTGGAGTTCTTCTTATTGTGTTCCTTAACGGTGGCAGGTATTCGAATGTAGTTGTTCACAGGGTATAACACCATTTCCTGACACTCAAGTGTCTCATCCTAAAACTGTTAACAATTTAACCAGTAGAATAGATTGAGAATAGAGCTGTAGTGTGGAGAAAGTACCCACAATAAGACACAATATAGCAGCATGTGTTGAAGTAACTCCACATACGGTGATAACTAAAACAGGAGCTGCAATAGTTTATTTATTATGTAATTCCAGTCATTAAAAATACCAACCCCTGTATGTCTGACTCGTTATCCAGCAACATATTGCCGGAATCGTGTAGTGGCTTCACGATTAGATATACATGTTTGGAGTTCTATCCAGACCGTTCCGTGCCTACAGTTTGTCCGCCATCCGTTGGTTGAAGAATACTGCTTTAGCTGGCAGTACCTATCGTTATAATCATCATTATCATCATCATCATCATCAATATCATCATCATCGTTGCTTCATGAATCTAATGATTCCCGTGTGCAAGATATCACCACCCACAAACCGTCATCCCCAGGATACACTCGCTCGCCGCGGTCGCTGGGAGGTCGAGTCGTCACCACCTTCTGGTGGCTGTACGTGCTCATCTTCATCGTCATGTACATCGCCAGTATGACCAACTACCTGCGGGTGGGACCCGTCCAGACGGCCAGTGACTCCTACACCAGCATTCAGGTAACTCTCTACTGACAATTATTATTATTTTTTTTGTTTTTGTTATTGTTATCATTATTACTATTATTATACTTCTCAACCTCATCATCTTCCTCCTCATCTTCAACATTGACTTCTTCTTCTTCTTCTTCTTCTTCTTCTTCTTTTTCTTCTTCTTCTTCTTCTTCTTCTTCTTCTTTTTCTTCTTCCTCTTTTTCTTCTTTGTCTTTTGCTTCTTCTTCTTCTTCTTTTGTTCTTTCTTTCTTTCTTTCTTTCTTTTCTCTCTTTCTTTTCCTTATCCTCTTCCTTTTTTCTGTCTTTCTGTCTTCCTTTTTTTACTTCTTCTTCTTCTTCTTCTTCTTCTTCTTCTTCTTCTTCTTCTTCTTCTTCTTCTTCTTCTTCTTCTTCTTCTTCTTCTTCTTCTTCTTCTTCTTCTTTGTCTTCTGTTTCTTCTTCTTCTACTTCTTCTTCTTTCTTTCGTTCGTTCTTTCATTCTTTTCCTTATCCTTTTCCTTTTTTTTTTCTTTATTTCCTTCTTTTCTTCTTCTTCTTCTTATTCTTCTTCTTCTTCTTCTTCTTTTTCTTCTTCTTCTTCTTCTTCTTCTTCTTCTTCTTCTTCTTCTTCTTCTTCTTCTTCTTCTTCTTCTTCTTCTTCTTCTTCTTCTTCTTCTTCTTCTTCTTCTTCTTCTTCTTCTTCTTCTTCTTCTTCTTCTTCTTCTTCTTCTTCTTCTTCTTCTTCTTCTTCTTCTGATTATTATTATTATTTTTATTATTAATATTATTATTATTATTATTATTATGCACGCTCTCCCTTTTTTTTCTTTTTCTTCTTGTTCCTCCTCTTTGCTCCTCCATAAAAGGATGTTTGGCACTTTGTGTTGTAGTTTATAACTAAGCTGCGATATTTGCACCTTTCGAGCCAAACCATAATATTTCATCAGATCCTTAAAAAGTCTCCTTTTACGACACGCTTGTTAACAAACAGTGAGTGAGTCTTTTCTTATTTCTCCTCAGTTTAGCGTCGCGGAACCCTCACAACGAGACTGTGAAGATGAATTTATTAAATACAGTGACCGCTGCGATTATTCTTAGGCGAAAGAAAAATCCCGCACCGTTACAATTTCACGTTTCAACCGAGGTCTTTATCAACGACGAAATGAACAAGAAAATAAACATGAATATGTTTCATAAGAAATATAACTATTATTTTCTTATGAAACTTAGCACTGCTGCAACTTTTTTTTTTTTTTTTTTTTTCACATTTCATCATTGCTTATCTCCCCTCTCCACAGTATGCTGAGTGCTTTTCCCAACAATTGGAGAAGAAAAAATCAACATTTTATATCATTTCTCTCCCTCTCCATCTCTCTCTCTCTCTCTCTCTCTCTCTCTCTCTCTCTCTCCCCTCCCTCCCTCTCTCTCATTCTCTCTCTTTTTTACTCTCTCTCTCTCTCTCTGTCTCTCTCTTTCCCCACCCCTCCGTTACACAGCCTGGTTACTATTAGTATAATCGGAGTTGGAACTCTTCTTTCGCTGCTGGAGATGGGGGTGGAGCACTTATACGAATCTTCCGAAGGCTGTGATTTGAGATCTTGAAACTCAAATCAACTCACTTCATATGACAAAGATACTTTTCTAACACTTTGCCAAAAAAGATAACTGCTTGTTTCTGGCCAAAAAAGATAACTGCTTGTTTATGATGTTTATGATAAGCTATGTTCTTGTCTCAGTGTCTTTCACATTTACATTGCTCATTATTAATTCAAATACGTTTTTTTTTGGAATATAGAGTATTGAGGACCTAGCAGAGCAAAATGTTGTAAATTTTGGAGTCATTCAGGAAGGAGCAACGGAACAATACTTACAGTCTGCGAAGGTAAAAATGAGGCATATTAAAGTTTAGAGTTATATGTTTAGAGCTGTCAGTAATTTAAGGGGCACATTGTTGTTAGGTTGTGTTTTTTTTTTCCTCGCCAATTACCATCTTCTCTCGTGGCTTTTTTCTTCCCCTCTTACCATCCATAATGTACTCGTGTCCCCTTCTGTCAGGTTAACTCTGTTAGTCATAAACAGCTGTTATGTAATTGCCATTGTCCCGGGAAGTTGAGAATTACTGTAATTGCCATTGTCCCGGGAAGTTGAGCGTTACTGTATGTGCCATTGTTCCGGGAAGTTGAGCTTAATGGCAATGTATACTTAGATCTGAGGGATTTCAACTGGCGTCCACCAGCTTCATTGTCTCTCTAGAAGGGGACAATGTATTATATTCAGATTAATGACAGGTCACAACAGATTTCGTCAACATATGTTCAAATTTTTCGGTGTAGGAAATACGGAGACGTGTCCCTGCAGCGTGGCACCAGAAAATGCTGAGTATGTGCTCCAACACTGTCAACTGTATGCTGACAACAGAGACGCAATCTGGCCTGTTCCAACAACAATGAAGACAAAACTGTATGGTACACGAGAAGATATGGACTGCACGATAGCTTTTATAAAGGCTACCGGCCTCCTGATATAAGTTTTCTGACAGAAGGATAGAAGAAGAAAAAGAAGAAGAAGAAGAAGAAGAAGAAGAAGAAGAAGAAGAAGAAGAAGAAGAAGAAGAAGAAGAAGAAGAAGAAGAAGAAGAAACTGGCATCAGAGGGGCGTGCATCGATTAATAACACTCAGACCAGGAGCATATTATGGACTGTCTGTCTAGGATATTTAGATACAAGGGATAATGAGCAGATTGATAGATTGGCTGTTGCCGCTCCTCTGAGTATTGATCTACTATTAGCATGTTGACTTTTTCGTTGTCTCTAAGAAAGTAAACGGATCGCGTGCGGGAATGCCCCAAGTGCAGTGACGTCCCTTTATGGTCGATTGATTGGTTCATTGAAGGACTTGAACAGAGACCCGTCCCTAACCAGCACAAGACTATTGGTCACACCTGGCTGGTGCAGCTGCTACGGCTGCTCCCTAATTATACCTTCTTTGGAACTTCAACAGGATATCTTTGTTGGTCTGCCGTCCAGACTGAGATGTTTTAAATCTCGCGATGGTACGGTAAACCTTTAGGTAGCAGCCTCAAGGGGACAAACTGATTGATGGATCGAACACAGACACAAGGATGCAGGAGTAGTTAAATTAATAATTCAGATACCTTAGCCTAATCCCTTATTTAACATTATGACGGTGACAGAAGACCATCAGAACATCATATTATCTTTGGTAGCACCAGGGAACGCATGATGGGTTGATTGCTACCGACAGAGTTCATGAATGCATACGGTTCTCTTATAATGATTGTTATGTACATACCTGTTTTACAAATTTGCCTGCAGACTGTTGGTTCATTGTGTCTTAGACAGAAGCATCACAACAACAAAAACTCGTGTTGGTTCTAGGGCTCCGTGGCTGGGGTGGGGGCGGTTGGGGGGATAGACCCACTGCCTTCCTACTAAGTATATCCTAAAGGCGCGTAATTCGGGATTTTCCTCTGAAGTCGGTGAGCATCTGTCTGAGATGCAAGAACCAGCAGTCTGAATTCAAATAAGCTATAACTGTAAAACGGATATGCATGCAACATGTACATTCTGGAACAAGTATGAAATCCGGAATTAATCAAATCATCAGAACTTTCGGCAGGAGTTTATAGCCTATAAAGGCTAAGAAGAAGTAAAAGAAGAAGATGATGATGATGATGATGACAAAGACGAAGAAGAAGAAAAAGAAGAAGAAGAAGAAAAAGAAGAAGAAGAAGAAGAAGAAGAAGAAGAAGAAGAAGAAGAAGAAGAAGAAGAAGAAGAAGAAGAAGAAGAAGAAGATGATGATGATGATGATGATGATGATGATGATGAAGACAAAGAAGAAGAAGAAGAAAAAGAAGAAGAAGAAGAAGAAAAAGAAGAAGAAGAAGAAAAAGAAGAAGAAGAAGAAGAAGAAGAAGAAGAAGAAGAAGAAGAAGAAGAAGAAGAAGAAGAAGAAGAAGAAGAAGAAGAAGAAGAAGAAGAAGGAGAAGAAGAAGAAGAAGAAGAAAAGAAGAAGAAGAAGAAGAAGATGAAGAAGAAGAAGAAGAAGAAAAAGAAGAAGAAGAAGAAGAAGAAGAAGAAGAAGAAGAAGAAGAACAACAACAACAACAACAACAACAACAACAACAACAACAACAACCACAAGAATAAGAACTAGAACAAGAAGTAACAAAGCCAGTCAATGATGCCAACTCACAATATCCTGTAAAGGATTCCCAGCTAACCTGAGTACATGTCCGTGTAGATTACCAGCTAACTTGAGTATATGTCCGTGTGGATTACCAGCTAACTTGAGTATATGTCCGTGTAGATTACCAGCTAACTTGAGTATATGTCCGTGTAGATTACCAGCTAACTTGAGTACATGTCCGTGTAGATTCCCAGCTAACTTGAGTACATTTCCGTGTAGATTCCCAGTCAAACTGAGTACATGTCCGTGTAGATTCCCAGCTAACTTGAGTACATGTCTGTGTAGATTCCCAGAATTAAGCGAGTGTGGACCATGATCAACCAGCAGCAGTCCTACGTGCAGACCCTCGAGGAAGCCATCGAAAAGGTTCGAACCTCTCGGAAACCATTTGCTTTCATTGCGGAGTCCGCCATGGCTAAATACTTCACAAAGCAGAGCCCGTGTGATATCTACATGGTTGGAGATTTTATCACCATTGGTAAGTTGTGGGGATTTCATTACTCTTGGTAAGTTGTGAGGATTTCATTACCATTTTTAAGTTGTGAGGATTTCATTACCATTTTTAAGTTGTGAGGATTTCATTACCATCGGTAAGTTGTTGGTATTTAATTACCAGTAATAAGTTGTGGGGATTTCTTTACCATTGGTAAGTTGTGGGGATTTCTTTACCATTGGTAAGTTGTTGGTATTTAATTACCAGTAATAAGTTGTGGGGATTTCTTTACCATTGGTAAGTTGTTGGTATTTAATTACCAGTAATAAGTTGTGGGGATTTCTTTACCATTGGTAAGTTGTGGGGATTTCTTTACCATTGGTAAGTTGTGGGGATTTCTTTACCATTGGTAAGTTGTGGGGATTTCTTTACCATTTGTAAGTTGTGGGGATTTCTTTACCATTGGTAAGTTGAAGGGATTTCTTTACCATTGGTAAGTTGAAGAGATTTCTTTACCATCGGTAAGTTGTGGAGATTTCTTTACCATTGGTAAGTTGTGGAGATTTCCTTACCATTGGTAAGTTGTCAGGATTTCATTACCATTGGTAAGTTGTCAGGTTTTCATTACTATTGGTAAGTTGTGAGGATTTCATTACCATTGGTAAGTTGTCAGGATTTCATTACCATTGGTAAGTTGGGAGCATTTTATTATCATTGTTAAGTTGTCAGGATTTCATTACCATTGGTAAGTTGTTGTTATTTAATTACCAATAATAAGTTATGGGGATTTTATTACTATTGGTAAGTTGTGGAGATTTCAATACCATTGGTAAGTTGTGAGGATTTCATTACCATTGTTAAGTTGTCAGGATTTCATTACCATTGGTAAGTTGTTGGTATTTAATTACCAATAATAAGTTATGGGGATTTCATTACTATTGGTAAGTTGTGGGGATTTCATTAACATTAACAAGTTATGGGGATTTCAGTACCATATGTCAGTTATGGGGATTTCATTATAGTCGGTAAGTTGTCAGGATTTTATCACCATTGGTAAGCTATATGGATTTTATCACCATCGATAAGTTATACAACTTTTATCACTGTTGTTATTGAAGATTTGATGAAGATTCTATCAATATTGGTGTTATGTGAATTGTATCGTTTTTGGTAAGTTATGTAGCATTACATCACTATTGGTAAATTATAGGAATGTATCTATTGTAGTGTTAAAAGTGTAAATATTGTAATCCACTCGTGATCAAGCAGGAGACTTTCCACATACCCCACTAAACACACTGGGCATATGGTGCTGATTCCATGTATGCATTTATCAGTCAGCACTCCGGGTGGTCGGTTTCAAGCTGGCAGCCTTTGCTCCCCATACTCCATCCAGTCACCCATTAACATGGGACATTTGGTTGGGACATCGCTAAGACTCCCCTCCCCCTTGTCACCCATATAATTGTGTAAGGTAACTAAGAACCATTTAAACATTTACCGAATTATCTTTCTCTAAAAAATATGACAAATTATTTTGAATATATTAAGTATATGTAATATTTTTTTTTTGCCATTCGGAATAAAAAAAATAATAATAATAGTGATAATAGGAATAATAATAATAAAATCAATAATCAATGTTATTAGTGTATAATCAAACAAGGCGTAAGCCTCTTCTCCAAACCCTAAAAAAATTATTGGTGGAGATGGGGAGTTGAGCTTCCCCGCCCTCCAATGTTTTCTCTGTTACAGCAAGCTTGGTCCTTTTGATATTTCTTTGGCTTGCTGATGAAGACCTTTCCACAGCAACAGCTCAGTCACTAGGGATTATATTCCTGTCAAGATATGTTCTGTGAATGCTGGATTGTCCTTTTTCTCTACTTGAACACTTAAAAGGCCCTTTTGTTTTACTGGCAATAAGATTTGATAATGCCAATAAAATTATGCTGTTGATGAAAACGATGAAGATTTAAAAAAAAAAAAAAAACTACGACGATAGTGAAGGTGAAGACGACGATAACGATGTCGACGATTGTAGTGGTGCTTGTGGTGTTGATAGTGATGATGATGATGATGATGATGATGACGACGACGACTAGGGCATTAATGATTATAACCATGTGGATGATATTAACAATGACGTGAGTTGATGATGGTGACGATAAACTTTGGAATTTAAAAAAATGTAGCAGAGATATGGCTAAGACAAGAACGGTTAATCTTGTGCTATATCAATGATTCCCAAGCTGTGCGCCGCGGCGCCCCGGGGAGCCGCGACCTCTTTACAGGGGCGCCGCGAAACCTTCGAAGATGCACGAGTTTTTTTTTTTTTTAAATCTTTAATACACGAATGGTCATACTTTTACCTAGGTTAGGGCGCCGTGGGAAAATTTTAATTGAAAATAGGCGCCGCAACCAAGACAATGTTGGGAAACACTGTGCTATATACCCTTCCCGCGAACTACCCGTGGGTAGAAGCTATAAATGCTATAAACACAATCCTCAGAAAACACAGAACCCAGAGAAAGCAGAAAAAATACTGTCTCCTAAGAGATCTTCTTCTTCTTCTTTGCCTTCACCAGCTGTAAACTCCAGCGGAAAGTTCTGGTGCTTCGTCCACTTCTGAACTGCAGTCCTGTTCCAGAACCTGAATGTTGCGTGTGCATCCGTTTTACAAATCTGACTCATTGGCCTGCAGACTGCTGGTTTCTTGCCGCTCAGGCAGATGCACTCCGACTTCGAAGGAAGCTCCAAATTAGTCGACTCTTGCGACATGCTTTTGGGTAGGCAGTGGGTCTATTCTTGTTTTCCCTATAATAGAGACCCGGAACCTACACGTGTACAAGAGATCTTAATATAAAGGATGATTGGCTAGTAAACCGTATCTTGTCTTGGAAACTGAAATAGTTTGGTTGTATCAAGTACCACGGAGGTTGAAAAAAATTAATGGGAGAAGGCATGGTACCAGGGAAGAGAGATAGGGTCGACCAGTAAGGCATGGTGCCAGGGAAGAGAGATAGTCGACCAGCAAGGCTTGGTGCCAGGGAAGAGAGATAGTCGACCAGTAAGGCATGGTGCCAGGGAAGAGAGATAGTCGACCAGTAAGGCATGGTGCCAGGGAAGAGAGATAGAGTCGATCAGCAAGGCATGGTGCCAGGGAAGAGAGATAGAGTCGACCAGCAAGGCTTGGTGCCAGGGAAGAGAGAGAGTCGACCAGCAAGGCTTGGTGCCAGGGAAGAGAGATAGTCGACCAGTAAGGCATGGTGCCAGGGAAGAGAGATAGAGTCGACCCGCACTAAGATGGGCACAGGATATAAGAGACACCTTGGGTAAGAAAGTGCACAAGGTGGGAGAGAGGGCGAGTGATCTACAAGTAGTTTCAGGCAGACCGTGATGAGAGTGATGTTCTGCAAAATACCGGCTACATGATGATGATGGTGATGAGAAGATATCGAAGCCAGCCCCAACTAAGATATGGACTTATAGGCGGGACATGTTTCATGAGGTGTTAGTACTACAGACTAAAAGAGAAAAACCACCACTGTTGCCACTTTTCTTTGACCAAAAAAAACACATCCAAAACGGAGTCAAAAATATCTAAAAACTAAAATTTGCGTGGAAAACATCTAGAAAAAAAAATCGAAATGGATAGAGTCACAAATTACATAGCTATTTATATGACTTCATCTTTACTGAAGTCTGCCTTACAAGATCCACAGGATAACTTAGCTTGGATGATGAAGTTGAAGCTTCAGATCCAAAATGACTCTAATATGCTTTAGCTGTTCCAATTTCTTTTAATACCCAATCAGGGAGTTGATAAGTGGAACAGCTTTTTCCTACTCTTATCAGGCAGAATGTTATTGTCAAGATAGCATTTAAAAGGCTTAATTTCATCCTGTTTCTTAGGTTAGATTTGATAAATTCACTCCAAATGAAAAACATCTGGTAAAACATCTACCATCTAAATGTCAAAAACGCCATCTAAATGCGGTAAACATCTAAATCTGGATGTAAAACATCCAAAATGGCAACATTGAAAACCACACACCCTAACTGGCTAGACGATCAATTTAAGTGAAAGTCCACAGGGACTTCTCTGCCCCCCCCCCCCTCCCCCGCCCCCTTTGTTTCCTGATCTAATTACACATAATTTACAAACCCCGTTCAAGGATTCTCACATTGTGTTACCCAGGCTCCTACTCGCTGGCATTCCCAGCCAGCTACGACCCCAGCCTGATCAAGCAGATCGATATCGCCCTGCTGACCCTCAGAGAAAAAGGGGTTCTCAAAATGCTGGAGGACCGATGGTTCTCGGGCGAGTGCACCGGGTTTGTTGTGGAGTCCAACAGTAACCGACTGCTGATCCCGCCTTTCTACGGGGTAACTAGACGTGTTTGTTCTGTTCTTAGTGTTTAGTAATAGTTTAATTTCACAGTGAATAACATTATCAGACATAGCAATAAAAGACAGACAGACATAAGTTGGTCATGTTCTTAGTACACTTGTCTCCATAGTGAGGGGCACACGCCATTTGAAGGTGACAGGTTCGATTCCTGGCTTGGTAACTATTACTTTTCGATTTTTTTGTTGTCTAGTGAGTCTACTTTCTACTTCTTTCTATAAGTGTTGATCAATACATTATCTGTTTGTTTTGGACAGACATATAGACAGACAAACATATAAACTGACAGACAGACAGCCTGGTAGACAAGCAGGTAGGTAGGTATGGGGTTAGGCAGACCGGCTAACAAGCAGGCAGAAATGGTGGAGGTCAGACAGACAGGTAGGGGGATAGATAGACAGGTAGGCAGGCAGCTAGACAGTCTGATAAACAGACAGACAGACAGATAATCTGACAGACAGACAGGGAGGTGGATAATTTGACAGACATGGAGAAAAAAAGCAGCTGGGTGGGTGGATGACCGAATTGATGTCTGTGTGATTTGATGGTTAGACAGATACATAAATGTAGAGACAGATAAATAAACCGTGCAATATACGCCTTATAACACTGGAATTGCCAAACATATTTACCAGACATTTCTGTGAAAATAGAAAGAATAGAAACACAAATTATCTGGTCAATTTGACTTATGCACACTTAATGTTTAATGTTTTATTAAGAATTGACATCATAGCACTTAATACATACCAAAATGCGCTCCGTCCCAATCTTCAGCAGCAAGCGCAGAGTTCCAGTCCTGATGGTACCCGAAAGTCTGACTTAACATCCATCTCGCCTTTCCCTTGAGTGTTGATTGTCGGCAAGATTCCATAGTCGACGACTCCTGATACCACCATTCTCCTCAGGCCGTGTTGGTCCATCTGTGCCTCCACACTGTTCACTCGCTCCCACAGAGCCTAACAACATCTAGCTTGTCATACATCAATTTTCAAACACTGACAACATGTCTGTCATGATGTGTTTTATGTATAATGTCTGACCTTTGTCCAACGCCAGGTTGACCTCGGGACATTCTCTGGGGCACTGATTATTCTAGGCCTTGGCCTAATTATTGGCAGCTTAGCAACCGGGGTGGAGGTCATCGTGTTCAAGTACGCGGAGACGGTAAGTGGGGCAGCACTTGCAATTTCATAAAGGTGATTTTCAAAATGAGGCAGTCGGTGATGTTTATGACACGAGACTGTGTCCATATCAAGAGGTGGTTTAGGTTTGAATTTTAAGTAAAATAATTATTTTAAAATTAGCGAAATTGGCGGGATTGATATCTGGCTGTGTAAATTTTACACTCGAGAAATCGTACTTGAAGAAACAAATGTCACAATATAATATTGGAGTGAATGAGGGCATTCTTAAATATGTGAATCAGTACAACTGTCCTGGAACCGTCACTGTCTTTGATTGGACGGGACTGGCATTGCAAGTGATGGGACTGTCATTGCAAGTGATGGGACTGTCATTGCATGTGATGGGACTGTCATTGAAAGTGATGGGACTGTCATTGCAAGTGATGGGGCTGTCATTGCAAGTGATTGGACTGTCATTGAATGTGATGGGACTGTCATTGCATGTGATGGGACTGTCATTGAAAGTGATGGATCTGTCATTGCAAGTGATGGGACTGTCATTGCAAGTGATGGGACTGTCATTGCATGTGATGGGACTGTCATTGCATGTGATGGGACTGTCATTGCATGTGATGGGACTGTCATTGCATGTGATGGGACTGTCATTGCATGTGATGGGACTGTCATTGAAAGTGATGGATCTGTCATTGAAAGTAATGGGACTGTCATTGAAAGTGATGGATCTTTCATTGCATGTGATGGATTTGTCATTGAAAGTGATGGATCTGTCATTGAAAGTGATGGGACTGTCATTGAAAGTGATGGATCTGTCATTGAAAGTGGTGTATCTGTCATTGAAAGTGATGGATCTGTCATTGAAAGTGATGGATCTGTCAATGAAAGTGATGGGACTGTCGTGAAAGTGATGGATCTGTCATTGAAAGTGGTGGATCTGTCATTGAAAGGGATGGATCTGTCATTCAAAGTGATGGGACTGTCATTGAAAGTGATGGGACTGTCATTGAAAGTGATGGATCTGTCATTGAAAGTGATGGATCTGTCGTTGAAAGTGATGGCACTGTCATTGCATGTGATAGGACTGTCATTGCATGTGATGGGACTGTCTTTGTATGTGATGGGACTGTCACTGAAAGTGATGGATCTGTCATTGAAAGTGATGGGACTGTCATTGAAAGTGATGGATCTGTCATTGAAAGTGGTGGATCTGTCATTGAAAGTGATGGATCTGTCATTGAAAGTGATGGGACTGTCATTGAAAGTGAAGGATCTGTCATTGAAAGTGATGGATCTGTCATTGGAAGTGATGAATCTGTCATTGAAAGTGATAAGATTGTCATTGAAAGTGATGGATCTGTCATTGAAAGTGATGGATCTGTCATTGAAAGTGATTGGACTGTCATTGAAAGTGATGGGACTGTCATTGAAAGTGATGGATCTGTCATTGAAAGTGATGGATCTGTCATTGAAAGTGATGGATCTGTCATTGAAAGTGATGGGACTGTCATTGAAAGTGATGGATCTGTCATTCAAAGTGATGGGACTGTCATTGAAAGTGATGGGACTGTCATTGAAAGTGATGGATCTGTCATTGAAAGTGATGGATCTGTTATTGAAAGTGATGGATCTGTCTTTCAAAGTGATGGGACTGTCATTGAAAGTGATGGATCTGTCATTGAAAGTGATGGATCTGTCATTCAAAGTGATAGGTCTGTCATTGAAAGGGATGGATCTGTCATTAAAAGTGATGGGACTGTCATTGAAAGTGATGGATCTGTCATTGAAAGTGATGGATCTGTCGTTGAAAGTGATGGGACTGTCATTGCATGTGATAGGACTGTCATTGCATGTGATGGGACTGTCATTGCATGTGATGGGACTGTCATTGAAAGTGATGGATCTGTCATTGAAAGTGATGGGACTGTCATTGAAAGTGATGGATCTGTCATTGAAAGTGATGGATCTGTCATTGAAAGTGATGGATCTGTCATTAGATGTGATGGGACTGTCATTAAAAGTGATGGATCTGTCATCGAAAGTGATGGGACTGTCATTGAAAGTGATGAATCTGTTATTGAAAGTGATGGGACTGTCATTGCATGTGATGGATCTGTCATTGAAAGTGATGGGACTGTCATTGAAAGTGATGGATCTGTCATTGAAAGTGATGGATTTGTTATTGAAAGTGATGGATTTGTCATTGAAAGTGATGGGAATGTCTTTGCATGTGATGGGACTGTCATTGCATGTGATGGGACTGTCATTGAAAGTGATGGATCTGTCATTGAAAGTGATGGGACTGTCATTGAAAGTGATGGATCTGTCATTGAAAGTGGTGGATCTGTCATTGCATGTGATGGGACTGTCGTTGCAAGTGATGGGACTGTCATTGAAAGTGATGGGACTGTCATTGCATGTGATGGGACTGTCATTGAAAGTGATGGATCTGTCATTGAAAGTGAGGGGACTGTCATTGCATGTGATAGGAATGTCATTGCATGTGATGGGACTGTCATTGCATGTGATGGGACTGTCGTTGCAAGTGATGGGACTGTCATTGAAAGTGATGGGACTGTCATTGCATGTGATGGGACTGTCATTGAAAGTGATGGGACTGTCATTGAAAGTGATGGGACTGTCATTGCATGTGATGGGACTGTCATTGAAAGTGATTGGACTGTCATTGAAAGTGATGGATCCATCATTGCATGTGATGGGACTGTCATTGAAAGTGATGGGACTGTCATTGAAAGTGATGGGACTGTCATTGAAAGTGATGGGACTGTCATTGAAAGTGATGGGACTGTCATTGAAAGTGATACTGTCATTGAAAGTGATGGGACTGTCATTGAAAGTGATGGGACTGTCATTGCATGTGATGGGACTGTCATTGAAAGTGATGGGACTGTCATTGAAAGTGATGGGACTGTCATTGAAAGTGATGGGACTGTCATTGAAAGTGATGGGACTGTCATTGAAAGTGATGGGACTGTCATTGAAAGTGATGGGACTGTCATTGAAAGTGATGGGACTGTCATTGCATGTGATGGGACTGTCATTGAAAGTGATGGGACTGTCATTGAAAGTGATGGGACTGTCATTGCATGTGATGGGACTGTCATTGAAAGTGATTGGACTGTCATTGAAAGTGATGGATCCATCATTGCATGTGATGGGACTGTCATTGAAAGTGATGGGACTGTCATTGAAAGTGATGGGACTGTCATTGCATGTGATGGGACTGTCATTGAAAGTGATGGATCTGTCATTGAAAGTGATGGATCCATCATTGCATGTGATGGGACTGTCATTGAAAGTGATGGGACTGTCATTGAAAGTGATGGGACTGTCATTGCATGTGATGGGACTGTCATTGAAAGTGATGGGACTGTCATTGAAAGTGATTGGACTGTCATTGAAAGTGATGGATCCATCATTGCATGTGATGGGACTGTCATTGAAAGTGATGGGACTGTCATTGAAAGTGATTGGACTGTCATTGAAAGTGATGGATCCATCATTGCATGTGATGGGACTGTCATTGAAAGTGATTGGACTGTCATTGAAAGTGATGGGACTGTCATTGCATGTGATGGGACTGTCATTGAAAGTGATTGGACTGTCATTGAAAGTGATGGATCCATCATTGCATGTGATGGGACTGTCATTGAAAGTGATTGGACTGTCATTGAAAGTGATGGGACTGTCATTGCATGTGATGGGACTGTCATTGAAAGTGATTGGACTGTCATTGAAAGTGATTGGACTGTCATTGAAAGTGATGGGACTGTCATTGAAAGTGATGGGACTGTCATTGAAAGTGATGGGACTGT